CAAGCCATAGATGGTTTGTGCATTAATTATCCATTTACTTCAGCATCTTCAAAAGTGTTTCAACAGCGCAAAAGATTAAAAATTTGCTACACTGCAAAGCTTAAGTATTTTTTTGAAAAATAAGCGATACAGACGACTTATTCGCCGTTCCGTCCGTTTTGCGATGGTGACATCTGTTAGTTGTGAAAAAGATAGTTTTTTTTTACCCTTAGCGTACGTCTTTCTTTGGCTCCTCCGGCTCTTTTCATTTTGTGCTTTTATTGTCTCTTGGCAAGGGATGCGATGTCGACACAAGCAAGCTCCTTCCTTCGTCTTTATATCGTTTGGGAAATGGAAAAGAAATCTATCAGACTAGACTGGAAATGTTCTGCTACTTCTTCAAAAACTGCTTTGGACGAACTTTTAAATGCTCCAAAATAATATATATTATAGTTAACAGTAAACACTTTTTATAATTGTACTGGTAATAGCATAGAAAGAACATTTATTTTTGAAGAACAATTACGAACTACTAAATTTCAAAAATTCTCATTTATATTATTAACTTCCCGTATGGCAAGTTATAGTAATCGCAAAAAAATAGTAAATGAAAATTTTTTATATATCTTTACGTTTCAAAGGTTTCTGAACATTTTGGCATACCTTAGAAAAAATGGATGTATGTATGTGTATGTGTATGTGTGTGTATGTCTGTGTGCGGATACAAATTTTCGTCGACGATTACGGGAACACCGATCAACCGATTTAGATATTTTAAAAGACATTCGATTTGTATTGATAAGAAAACGTGCTGATTAGTTTTTGGCGGGGGCAGGTCTAGCCGTTCCGAAGATACGGGGCAAAAAGTGCCAAAAACGGTAACTCAGTTTTTAAGAGAACGGAGCGTCCGATTTTAATAATTTAGAAAACATTTTACTTGTATTGATAAGATGAACATGTGGTTATTTTTGGGAAGGCAGTTCCAGCGGTTATGGACTCTCAATAAAAATAAGTTTAAAAAATGGCATTTGACAGTCAAAAATGTTTATTAGACATATGAACATCAAATTATCAAATATTTTATAGAGATTTTAATAATGTGTACACATTTTGTATAATTTATTTTGGGTTCAGTATAACTATATTCTATATAACAGTTTGTACTAAGATTTTTAATTACGGTACAGGAAGTTCCAGCAATTTGCCTTAAGGCACGATGCCATAGACCCCACTAGTGTTTTATTACTTAAAATTGCTCTTACTCAGCTATTACTGACATGACCCTGTCCTAGCATCTACAATTATGTTTTTTTTTGTAATGTTGAATTTCAATAGATATCATTATATTAACCCCTACCACTCGGCACTGATTTAAATATAATCTACTAACAACTAGGTGCCGCATTCTGACGAAAACGTACCTGCTCTAAACTTGATACAATTGTGCATATTATGCAATTTGTTTGAGATTGATGAAAGTGTGGACATTAAAGAACTTACATTTACAAAAATTTCGAAATTTATTTTTTGCATTAAGTTGAAGTTCAAAATAATTTTCAAGAGGCACAGCTATTGGTACCAATATTGTTTTGATTAATTAGCGTCGTGTCAGTTTTTCTATCATTCCTCAGTATTCTTATTGATAGGTAGGTCCAGGTGATTAATTTTTGGCGAAGGTCGAGCCATTTCGAAGATACAGAGCTAAATGTGCAAAAAATGATAGTTTTTGAGAGAACTAAGCGCCCGATTTAAATGAATGAATTGCTTTTGAATCAAAAAAAATTGTGTCAATCTTTTGTTTTTTTTTCAGAATTTTTTTTTCAGAATATTAAAAATAATTCAGTTTTTAATTTTAATTTTGACTAAAGTTCTAATATACTTTAAACAAATAATTTCAACATTACAATTCAGTTCATATAACTCCTATAAATATTAGACAATGTTACATTGTGTATAATAATCTATTTGAAAACATTTATTATTCCTCGAACATTTTGTTACAGTACGGGAAGTTCCAGCAATTTGCTTTAAGGGACGATGCCATACGCCGCTAGTTGTACTTAAATGATTGATGGAAGAAACTGATGGTGTAAATAAAATTTTACTTTTGATATTCCTGGCAGGCCTAAGAAAAAAATTAAATGGCCATTCTCATCCATGATCTATTCTATTCGACGCTTCAATACGAACTGAATTATTGTGTATACAAACTATCGTGTGAAAATTATTGAACAATAAATTTTATCATGTTTTTTTCAAATATATCATATATTAATTATAATTGATGATATCAAGCATATAAGTTTGCAATGAATATTACTAATTGTTGTATTTGTTAATTTTATTGTAAATCAAGTGTTTAATAAAAAATTCTTACAATGATAACTTTGTTTTTCAAGTTATATCGAATGCAGCACTTTGCATAGAGTCACATTTAAGTTTTCATTATCTTTATCTTTATGCATTTTATATTTTAAAATTAATGCTATATTATAAAAGAATTCAGTACAAAGATACAAACAGAAATAATTTAGATTTCATTTTAAATTAAAATACACAGTTACAAAGTGACCGAGTTCTTGTTACCGATTATTATTAAAAATGCCGCATGTGATGCAATTTATGTTACAAAGAGTATGAAATAGTTTCCCGAGCAAAGATATTTTATTTACACAGTGAAAAGTAAAAATGCGAATGTTATTTTCCAGGCAACGAAAAATAGTATTTTCATCTGTATGTTTTTTTAACAGAAGAGATTATTTTATGCAAAATATCTTTTTCTGTTATTTCTGTACGTTTTGTCGAGAAGTTGCTCTACTAGCGCAGGCAGATAATAAAATAAATGTCAGTTTTCATTCTGTATGTGTATAAACATAACTCTTATAACTGGGCATATGCGGTTCTAATATGAATTCTAGAAAATGGAAAAATGTCGGGTGATATCTAGTATTTCTTTTGAATGAAATTTTGTAATTATATTTAGGAATGGTTCCAAAACATCGTGCTTGAGAAAAATTGCTGAAACTTACCGTAACATAATTTATAACTTTTTTGAAAATTTTGATATTTTTCTAACATTTTTGAAAATGTTTGAGACCTATTCATTATCGATTGATATAAATTACACCTGATTTTTTAAGCTTTTACTACTAATAATACTACTACTACTAATAATTCAAATTAATGCTCCCGGAAACGCCTACAAAAAATTACATCCATACACACATTCATACTATATACACATCCATACACATACATACATACACACACATACATACACACATACACATATAAATTTTTTCTAAGGTTTGCCAAAACGTTCAGAAACCTCTAAAACGTAAAAATATGCAAAAATAATCATTTGTATTTTTGGACAAATACTATAACTTACAGATTTAACAATTATTAAGTAACAGTTAATATCATACTCTCATTTTATTAAAAATGAATCTGACAGACACAAAATATTTCTCAAGAAAATTTTCTTGAATTGACAATGGAAAGCCTAGGTTTATTTTGGAAGCAGGTTCGAAATACCATTTTGCACTGTACTATTATATTACTTGGAATTGTTGCAGATAAAATAGTACTATAATTTCGAAATTTTTGAAGTATTTTAGCAATACTTCCAAGATTTACTATTTTGGCATTGGACAACTGAAATTAAAATAAATAAAAAAAATATATGAGAACTTACACCTGTTCTATATATTCTCCTATATATAATTTTCATATTTACTTTAACGCAATGTGTTCAGCTGTGCATAATTAAAATTTCAAATGTTCTGAATGCAACAATAATAAATTATAATGTTTCCTAAATATTATGATTTATTCACTCGCTATTTTCCGAATAAATTTTCATGTTTATATAAGCGAGTATTATCCATATAATTGTTACTGAATACTGTTAATGTAAAGGCTAAACAAATATGAAATACAAATTTTCATTATTTGCTCTATGATATATTGTTAATTGACGAAAACTGAACATTTTGGAGGTATTATAACTAAAAACAAGTTTATATACATTTTACAATAAATTTCTACAATTTGATAGTATACTTTAAGAACCGACGCTGGAAGAATTTACAATGCAATCTTTGCGTTATTAATTTGCAGCCATACAAGTAACATAACTTCTTATGGATATATGAAAAACATAATAAATAATTAAAAGAATTGATTTTTCTTTGCTTTTTTATATAGTAATTTTTATACCTGTCTTGAAATTGACAACAAATGAAACTGTAGGATTAAAAAATGACTTCTAATAAAACTAAATCTTCTTACAATTATCAGACATTTTGAAAAATTCACATATATTAATGTAACATGATTTTTTTTCAATATTGCCCTGGTAGTTTTTTGACGCAGTTCTTTGAAAAGTTAATTTAGATGGTCCTTGAGGCGGCTTTTGTAATTGTCTCAATGTGCTAGTCTTTCATCAGTTATTGTGTTCATATCACAATTTGTCACTTGTGATTTTTATAATTTCTCTTAGCAATTAACTTTAGCCTCTTTCAATTTTTATCACTTTTGATTTGGAAGTTGATCTTTATAGGTGTATCTGAAAGCTAGTTAAAAATTTATGCTAGGAGTTAATCTATAATTATTCGGCCATGAATGTGATTATAAAATTAGCAAATAGACAGAGGAATCATAAAAAAGTAGAAACTATAACTATAAGAAAAATTCTGGATGCCCATTACATCATCGTCCATAATTGATAAATAATAATTAAATAATATATTCAGAATACTACAAATATTTTAATACTACAAAATGCATATAAACCTGCCTTTAATGTAAATCAAGCTTATATTTTGACATTTTTGTTATGTAATATTTCATATGAATGCAGGCTGTCTGGGTTGTTAAAATGTTGTTGTTCCTTTCGTCAAATCGTCAATATGTATCTAAAGAATTTATTCAGTTTTTAAATTTTACATTAATTTTTACATGAAATTTATGATATTAACAAAAATCAATTTACAGTGAATCAATATCAAGATTATGGTATGTGGTCTGGTGATAATTTTTTTTTTACCAAACAAATGTCTTATAGTTTCTCAGTTAATGGATAAATCCAGTTTTACAATTGGATTTGCTAAAATCCTCTAAAAGGTTCAATTAGTGCAAATCTGCGATTTCTAAAATATATAACCGAATTGTCACTATCGTTCAGACCGAAAAGCACGTTCTGCATTTAATGTTTGCATTGCTAAATGTTATCATAAAACATGTGTGATATTTGCTGAATGGCTTATGTCAATAAGTATTAAAATGGATTTGAACTAATAGTTTTGATATTTGCTCTCATAATATTGCATTTATTATAAATAAACGCATTAGTGGAATCCGTGATATGTCGGATACTGCACATGCAATTCGAACACCTAACAAAATTGCAACAATAATTTCTCTAGGATTCTATTCATAAATAGTAATTGTTTTTAATTCGGATATTAGATTACCTTGTATATATAAATAAAATATTCATATGTGATTTTTTTACATAAGCAGTTAATAATTTTATTATATTTGTTACAGGATTGCAAGCCCTTCAAAGATTTGAAAAGCAACCTTCATATACTGAAGTCAATCCTGGTCAAGATGCATTACTTACGTGTAAAGTTCTCAATCGCAGAGGATCTTGTTCCTGGCAAAAAGATAATAAGGTAAGATTTTTTATATTTTGTGTTTTATATATTATAATTTGATTGACTGGTTCATATTTGACTCACAAAATAATGACTGCTTTATCTATATTAGATTATAATGATCGAAATTATGCTCTGAAGGGCAAAAATATTTCCAATTATCCTGATCTGATCACATATTCCAATTGGAACTTACACATCTATTGTAAAAAAATAAAAAAACGAATTTTAGACGATGTGCTTACTAGAGCTAATATTTCTAGTAGCTCAGTTTTCAAAATCTCAATTAATTTCTAAAATGTGTGAATTTTAACTTGGCTTATATTTTCAAAGGCTGAGGTGAACATTTTGTTCTGTTCCTATAATTTCAGTTACATAAACATTTCTATCGATTTGATGTTTGTTAATTATCTACTAATTTTTTTTATATTTGGTATAATTTCACAAGGTAAATTGTCATATGCTCTCAGTATCATTTTCTAATTTTTCAAACATTTTTTTGCTATTCATTTTCTTGCACTTCTGAATTTGGCCACTTACTTTATTTTTTAACTTAAATCGTTTTATTTAGTTACCTAAGTTGAATTTATTTTCAGCTGGCAATTAATTTTTATAATTTTACATTTTCACATTAATTTTTATCTACTTTATTTCTTAATTTTTCATGTTATTAACTTCCCGAAAGAGAAAACTTTTCTAGACAATGCGATTTGTTAATTCCATGAATTTTTCGACGTTTTAGGTCATTCTGAATCGTTTAAGATCAAAAATCGAAAAGGAGTGAAAAATAAAATTAATTATCAGAGTTCTTATTGTCGTTACTACTTGCCCCAGTAAATGTTGCAACTAGACCCAAATATAACATCGCACTTTTCCTAGAAAATAATTAATTGTGGAATAATGAACAGTAGATATAGAAGTATTTTTACATGACTTTGTAGAGGGATATCTGAATCATTAAACTTAATTTCGAAGCAATATAATCCATTTATCTCAAAATATTCAATTTAACAAAAAAAAGTAACAAGTTTCTAGCTCCTATGTACATGATTATATACACTGTAATCACCTCAGCATATATTATATTTTTAATGACGTGTATTACAGGAAACAATTTTTTGTTCACTTCTAAATTAAATTGTTTATTTATACTATCTATATCATCTTTCTTTACGTCGCCATTGTGGTTAAAAATAAGTATATGACAATCATAAACATAAAAAAGTCATTTTTAAATATTTCTAAAGATTCAATTTCCATGCTTTGTTCTAGTAAACCGTAGCAATTTAACATCCAATAAAAACTGTATTTTCATACACATTCCATTTTTCGCAGAAAATAATCATATACAGTAATCTATTTTCCATTTAACTTCAAAGCATTTGAATGCGCATTGAAAAATTAATTAACATGTAAAATTAAATTAAAATCTAGCGTTGTACCACACATTTCTGTGCCGTCAAACCTTCGTTAATGAAAACAGCGAGCATTGTGCTGCAATTGTATTGCATTGCTTTAGAAATAACATTTAGATTTGTTCGTTAGAGTATTCATGGTATGAACACCGAATGGAATTGTAAATAGCGTTTAATATATAGTTGAAATTTGGGCAAATCGAGAACACTGCGGAGGAAAATTACTGAAATTATTTACAACTGCATTACTGTCGCTTATGACATCATAAAATAGATCATGGTAAATAATTAAAACATGAGCAGTTCATTTTAAAAGTATGTAAGAATTGTTGAAAGATTAGTGCTTTGACTTGTTTTATCGGATACACTAGCTGACCGAATTCTTCAATAGCTTAATTAATAACTTCTCGTAGGGTAAGTTATTGTATCTTCAGCTTTCGAAAATTTCTGGACATTTTGGCATACCTTAGAAAAAATCTATATGTGTGTGTGTATATATAGATACAATTAACACTTACGGGACGGCACCGATTTCAAAACAATTTACCAGCTGTAAACTTGAGTGTATGTTATGGAATTTGTTCGATACAAATTTGTGGTCATTGAAGGACATACGTTTACAATATTAATTTATTTTTGATCGTTTTATAAAGAATGATGACGTTCAAAACAATTTCCAAAATGCATTGCTGGTTTATTTTGATATGTTTTACAATACAATGTTGTTCGCCGCCTTTGTTCTGATGCTTTTCTGTCAGAACAGACAATACAATCCCTTTTTCTTTCTCTCGCATTTAGAATATGCCACTGATTAGTCAGTATATTTGTTCATTTTTGTGTTGCCATAATAGTTTGTTTTTTCTATCATATTGTCTAATAATTTATTTATAAAATATAAAGTAAAATAATTTATTGGATGTCTTATATACTTGGTATTTGTAGTCGGCGTATTTGTTGATGTATGTCAAACTCGATTCTTTAAGGAGAATCGGCACATTCGTTAATGTCTTTCCGCTCTTCATTTAATTTATCTAACTTTTTCTTCTTTTTGTTGGTTGGATAATATCATCACGTTCATCACTATCTTCGGTGCGAATAGTAATTTCGTAAAATTTGTCTGTATGAATGTCTATTTGAAACTCATCTTCACTACTGCCTAATTCACAAAATTTACCAGTCGTTTTGCCATATTTAAAAGCGCTCGGTCGTTTTAAATATTAAAAAAAAAGACTACAGCAAAGAAAAAGGCTAAAAATACTACTAAAATAACTTAAAATTATTTTCAAAATACAATACTCTTTATCACTGCTATATGTAATTTATTCAACTTTTCGATGCAAACTGAGTCATTGTTTACAAAATAGCCTGTGCCTCGCAGAGTTTGTTTGTCCACTCAGGTGGACAGCCGTCCTCAAAGTGTTAAGTTCTGTTTATTCATATTTCATGTAAACTTATATAAACGTCATCGTCCAATTTAAAAATTTCTATATTTTGTTTATAAAAAACATTTAATATTCCTCCAATATTTCATTACGGTGCAAAATGTTCCAGCGATCTGCCTTAAAGCATGATACCATACACAACTAGTTTTTTTTATAACGTGAAATGTAGACATCAACTTTAAATAAATAATCGATAATCAGCACAAAGCTATTATTATGCCAATTGGGACCTACGGAATACAACTACGAAGATCAGCTTCCAAATCAAAGATGATGAAAATGCCAAAATATATCACTAAAAATTTATATATATATATATATATATATATATATATATATAGATACAATGTTTCGCGTATTTGGTATTTCCTGTAAAAGCACTATTAAGTAAACTTCTAATTTATTTACAATTATAAATCAAACAAAACCAACACAGAACGTATAACTAAAACACTACAACTACACCAGGAAAACTAATTATAATGACTTCCACACACCCAAGCTTCAGAACTCGACTTGACTTATTTGTCTTGGTAGTTAAACAAACATTTATTTGCACAATATCAGATCGTTCTAGTTTACATTACGATTTTAATGCATTGATACACGTAACAACCATATCATATATAAACTGTCTTTCCGATTTCCAACCGTGAGCGAATCAAGTTGTTCAGGTGTAGTCATTGTGCAAATCTATAAAGGGTTGTATGGCTTTCGTGCACGGTCTCATAGGAGGGTAGCGGGTAGAAAATTGATATTTTCAATATTTTTATTGAAGGAATTAATCACACTACATTTTGCAATATGCAGAAAACTACACTGACTTCAATTCTCTCACTGAAGACAATATACGAGTTTCAGATTAAATGATATTTAGATTAGAAATGCAGGAAGTCTACATGTAAAATAAATACATCTATATATCTTACTTAACATAAAGAATGGATTTTTCCATACAATCACGATATAATAGATATTTATACATTTATTTCATTCCGTATTTAAAGAGTTAAAAAAAATTTGGATAATGACTAATGACTATCTTTTCATCGCTTTGTAAATATATCGTTGAATAAAACTAAAAAAGAGTGCACAAGATGGCATTCAAGTAAAAATGAATACATCATATAACAATTTTCAATAAAGTTTATTAGTAATATGGTAACACTCGTGATGCACACATTTATTAGTGTCGACCATTAAACACATTTATATAATAATGAATTATAAATTATTTATTTATAATAGCATTAAAAATTTACATGGTTCTTATAATGATTATTTCATAAAGTCTGCACATGTATATTGGTGAATACTTTTATATTGGTAAAAAAAATATAAATTGTATTTTTAAGCAAAATTAATTTTTGTTTTCTTAATTCAGATATGTAGGGTGTAGGTTATATATATAGGTTAAAGCAAATAATGAAGGGGTAATAGACTTATATATAAATGTAGGAACTGATGGTCTTAGGTATCGTACGGTATGATTAGATAGGTAATAATTAGATTTAAGACCTTTAACGTATTGTAATAGATCTTGAGTACTTTTATATAAAAAAGAGTGCGCGTAAGGTTCATACACGATTGAAGTAAAGCTTATTTGCTACTGTTCAAGATGGCATTTAAGTAAAAATGATTAAATCATATAACAATTTTGAATAATGTTTCTTAGTAATATGGTAACACTCGTAATTCACATATTTATTAGTGTCAACCATTATACACATATATATATAATGTGTATAAGTATGGCTTTATACTTCAAATATGACATGATCGGTTTGTCATTGCAATTAGCATTTAGAAATGAACCTTCATTAGGGAAATGAAGTAATTGCTGATTAATAACTTTTATAATACTATATAAATATCAGTTATTATATTCATTAATCTAGAATTAATAAAAACGTAGTAATCATTGAGTAATTTTAAATTTTATGAGTAGATTGTTCATTTTTAGAAGTATATATTATGAATCAAACAGCAGTAATATTAGAGTTACTCTAATCATTTATATGCAGAGATGTTCAGGAAGTGTTATTTTTACTTAGAAACATTACTAGGATCTATAGTATTATTAAAATGACGAAAATCTCGTAAGACGTAATCCTTTACCCCTTAGCTCTACGTCTTGCACTTTGGGGTTGCAGTAGCTACT